TTCTCAATTACATTTTTGTAAAATGTGTGCCGAAATCGACACAAATCGACAAGAAATATCCAGTCTGGTTCAACAATGAAATAATTAAAATAATTAAACTTAAGCATAGCTATTTTTTAAAGTCCAAACGTTATAAATCTCAGTACTGGAAATCCAAATATATTGCTCTGCGCAGCACCATCAAATAAAAAATTAAGCTAAATCACACTTAATTCCTTTATGATGTTGAAAGGAGCTTGAAGTCAAATCCAAAGTTTTTCTGGTCTTATGCTAAAAGTCTGAAAGACAACCATGACATCCTTGAAGAAATGGTTTTTGAGAACCAAACTTATTCTGGCACGCAAAATATAACTGAAGGTTTTGCTAAATTTTTTAAATCAGTTTATATCAATGATCCTGATGTAACATGCAATTCTACAAACTCCATGTCATTTTTCTGTCAGAAAGAGATATCTATTGAAATGATTAAAGTGGCACTATAAAAAGTTAAACCTAATAAGGCGATTGGTCCAGATGGAATACCAGCATATATTTAAAAAGGTTGCAGCGATCATTTTTTAAAACCACTTCACGCGTTATTTAATTTAATTTTAAGAACATCAACCTACCCAGATAAATGGAAAATCAGTAAGGTTATTCCAATCTTGAAGAATGGATCCAGAGAGGAAATCAAAAACTATCGGCCTATTAGTATCGTATGTGCAGTTTCCAAAATTTTTGAAGTGATAATTTATGATATGTTATTTAATGAAGTATCTAACAGGATTACATCATACCAGCATGGCTTCCTTCCTAAAAAATCAACTATGACTAATCTTATCACATTCTGTCAATATGTTCATGAGGCACTCAACAGCAAGTCGCAAGTGGATGTGATTTTTATGGACATGGAAAAGGCATTTGATAGAGTAAGACATTGCATAGTACTAAGGGCCTTAAATGACTTGGAGGTGCCTGCATATCTGGTAAACCTAATCCGATCATATTTGAAATTTTGGCAATTGGGATAAACGACCATGATCTACACTTTAAAAATATTTTTGAACATGCGGTGTTGCCGCTTCTACTCTAAACCAGTGGCAACATCGCTATTTTTAATAGAACACCCTGTATATGATTGCATATTTGGATTCTACGTGAAATTCTGAGCAGATTTCATGCGTTATACCCTTTACCTAAGTTCAACTGTTTTGTAAATATTGACAGTTGAAAATTGACCTTTTGTAACATTGACAGCCTGTAAAACCTAAACGGTTAATTTTAGAGGAAAACCGATTTCACATTCCTATCTTAGATTTTCATAAACTATCATTCCACATCAACTTTGAATTTAACCGGAGATTAAATTTAATTGGAATTTTTAATCATGGATTAAATTCAAAGTTGATGTCAGATGATAGTTTATAAAAATCTAAGATAGGAATGTAAAATCGGTTTTCCTCTGAAATTAACCTTTCAGGTTTTACAGCCTGTCAAAGTTGCAAAAACTCAATTTTCAACTGTCAATATTTCCAAAACAGTTGAACTTAGGTATAGGGTATATCACATGAAATCTGTTCAGAATTTTATGTAGAATCCCAATATGCAATCACATACAGGGTGTTCCATTTAAAATAGCGATGTTGCCACGGGTTTGGAGTAGAAGCGGCAACACCGCATAAACAAAAATATTTTTAAAGTGTAGATTATGGTCGTTTATCCCGGTTGCCAAATTTTCAAAATTATCCGCTTATTAGTTCTCCATTAACGTCTGATACGCCATCCACCGTGGGACAGCTTGTATTGTCAGTAAAGTTGAAAGTGCCCAAAAGATGGCTGGTTTCATTGCTCGGAACACTAAAGAATTTTCAGTTGATGTGAGTTTACACCTCTTTGACAGCCTTGTGGCGCCCATATTGGAGTATGGAAGCATAATATGGTCCCCACAATATAATGTATGGTTAACAGTGCTTGAGAGTGTGCAGAGAAAGTTTTTAAAAAGTATGTATTTCAGAAAGCACGGTGTCTATCCACCGATTGGATATGACAACTCTCAACTCTTGAGAGAATTCAATAGATTAAGTTTGGAACATAGACGAATTAAAATAGTGCTTTGCATGATGTTTAAGTTATTGAAAGGAAATATAGATAGTCCCGATATTCTGAGCCAGTTGCCTTTCGCTATTCATCGTAGGAACTCGCGTAATTCGAAAATATTTTACATGGCGTATCCGAGAGTTTTTTATAAAAACTCCCCTATCTACAGAATGTGCAATGTTTTCAACTTGTACGCTTGTGACATTGACATTGATGTCATTTGTTACAATCAGTTTAAACAACTTATTCTATCCAAACTAAAAGAAAAATAGTATTCAGGTGTTTTAATTGTATTATTTGTATGTTTATTGTTAGGATTAGGTATATTTAACATTTTAATATTATAACATGACACATACTATTACTTAACTATTATTATTGGATAAGTGGATATCTGTAATTGGCTTAAGCTGTTGATATCTTTGAATAAATAAATAAATAAATAAATAAATAACACATACCTGTATTGCATAGATTTCAGTGTGGTATACCGTTGGGTATCGACCCAGTGTCAAGTCTATCTACGCAAAGTGACAAAGGTCGGTGCGCTGTCACGGTTCAGGATTTCTAAATCCGTGGTGTGAAGGTACTCCAGCAGACTGAGCCCTCTCCGGTTCGTGTTGGTGCTGCCCCACACCTCGTGATGTGCGTTGGCATCGCATCCAACAATCAACGAAAGGTCCAGGGAGTTACAGTACTCCATCAAATTGATGAACTCCCGTGTTCTGTTGAGTCCTAGGGCAGATAGGCCGAACAAACTATTATCGATCTGCTCTGTCGCAGTCTGCCCTTACGGCATAGCTTTACCGCTATTAGGTCTCTAAAGCAGAAGTTAGCAATTAGAGACAGTCAAATCTTACTCGAGCTGTGTTGGACTCATGCAGCTTTTCTATGAGAAATATCAGGTGGTGAGGAACTCTGATGGAGAGAAGAATTTCACAAAGTTTAGGCCACTTTCACGCTGTCAAATACCTTCGAGTGGTCCACAAAGCAGATATAGACTAGAAAGTAGGTAATGCTCTCTGGCCTTTTCAATAATCTGCCTCAAGTTCAAGATCAGTGCTCCCGAGTACCATGCCCCTTTACGAAACCAGCCTGCTCTGGGAATATTTACCAGCCACAAAACCCCTCAAACGAGACTGTATAATATTCAACATAACCTTGCTTGAATGAAAAATTAATGAGAGTAGTGTGTGGGTTTACCGGAGATCCCTTCTTATGAAGTGGAACAAAGATTGAAGTGCTCTATTGGTCTGGCCAGACACCGAAGGACCAAACTTTCTATCAAATACGATGAAAACAATGTAAATCGTCATCATCCAAGTACTTCAGAGTTTTGGCAGAAGGAGCATCAATGCCTGTCGCTTTACCGGCCTCTAGTTTCCTAACGGTATGTTCCACTTCCGAAAAAGGAATATCCGCCTCACGTTCGTAATCGAATAAAGGGGCTTGAATGTTAACATCAGAATAAAAGTTTTTAAAATATGTACGTCACACATCAATGACCACTGCCAAGCCGGTGATGAGTCCATGGGCATTCTCAACTGAACAAGTTTTGGGCTTAAAGTCCCGACAGAGAAATTTTATCTTAGGAACATCTCTTCTGGATGGCCTGTATTAGCGTGGGCCTGTATCTCCCTGCATAATTCCCGAAGAGAGGAGTTCTAATCTTGAACGCAGAGTCTTTGAATTTTCGTGTTAATTGTCTATACCGATCGTGATTTGCATCAGAATCCAGACCTGAGATCTTGAGCTCTCTATTATTCGTCGATTTTTAACTGACATTTTCCATATGAGGAGCGAGGGGGTGTTTCATATGGCAAAAACAGGTGTGACGTCAGGTAACCATTGGCGTTCTAATTCCGTCCGAGTATCAGATTAAAATCGACGGACAATACGTGCCTCAATGACAAACAATGTATAGGTGATAATTCATTGCTGCGTATTGGCTGAGTTGTTTGGGAAGCTTGTGTGAGAATATTTTCAATAGTTATATAACGAGTGCAATGGAGATTATCGATAGTTTTTGGGAAATTTGCGAATGCATTTTAAGTTGAAAAAGAGCACGAGTGCCTTTTTCAGGTTAAAACGCATGAGTGCAAATTTGTCGAAGATTATAGATATATATGCTTATTGGTCGCTATTGTAAAACGGATGTCAATCTGCAGAAACACCTCATTTGGCCACCAATCAGGGTCAAGCGTTATTGTTTATGTTTTGTTTATGTTTCAAAGTTTTCAATATCAAAATCTATCTTGAGAAAAAATAAAGTGTAGTGCAAATTATCGCGTAATGCCAATATGATTGGTTCAAATCAACAATCAAAACATGTCAGTTTAATGTTGGAATGTCAGTTTTGACAGATGTATGAAATTCTCAAATGTTAACCCATAATATTGGGAGATTCATCCGCTATCGAAGCACTCTGAAAAAGCTGAAAACATTTTGACCGAAAAGAGGCAGTGTCAACCATCTCTGTTGAAGGATTCCGTGCTTAGAACGTGGATATTTCTTCAGCTTGAGTTCACAAACAAGAAATTGATAGTCTGAGCCACAGTCGGAACCTGATAAAGTTTTACAGACTAATCGATCTTGTTTCAACCTTGCGATATACTTTAGCGATATTGTCCGCCTGATGAGACCCAAGTATACCTACAGACGTCGTGAATGTTGTGCCATAGTTAAATAAGTACCATGAGCTAAATAATGTGTCTTACTATAGTAAGCTTAGGGTAAAATATTTGTTCGAATTCTTTGTCTTCTCGTTCAATTACCCAAAGTGCTGGTTTTTGGGTGACAAGTAGATTTTACCTTTTTTGGTAGGTAGAGGATGATTTTCCAAGTATGGCAATATTATTCAAGTTTTTTCCCTCCTACTTGTTTAAAGCGAATTACGTAACATTACATATACCTACTGTTTTCAGCATCAATCGACGAATGTTGTATTTTTCCAAGAGGTAAAATGTGGGGTGGATCAAGCAGCCTTAATGGAAATTTGTATAGTAGAGGTACCAAGTGGGATTACGATTTATGGGCAGAAATTGTTAACAATTATGATTGGTCTTATGAAAATATTTTACCTTATTTTAAAAAAGCCGAAAGAGCAATGTTCGAAATCGACTTGGATAGAAATTATCATGGCTTTAGTGGCCCCCAGTGTATAGACTTGTTGCAAGATACTCCAGGATTGGTAAGAACAATTTCCATTTCGAAAGTTTAATTTGACCAATTTATTTTGAAGACTACAATGCTGTTGCAAGCTTTTAAAGAAAGAGGTTCCATTGAGTTGGATTATAATGGTCGAAGCCCTTATGGTGTAAGTAGGCATCAAAATTTTATGGATCGAAATGTTCGTGCAGGAACTGCACATTCTTACATAAGACCAGCGATTGATCGACCAAATTTGTTCATAAGTGACAATTCATTGGTAACTAAAATTAAAATTGAAAATGATAGAGCAGTGGGTATAGAATTTGTAAAAAATGGAGAACTATATATTGCTCAGGCTTCAAAAGAAGTAATTTTGTCTGCTGGTGCCATAAATACACCACAAATTTTAATGCTATCTGGCATTGGTCCTTCACAAGAACTTACAAAACATGGCATCGAACTTGTTAAAAATCTGCCAGTGGGACAAAATTTACAAGATCACGTAGCAGTTATTCCATTATTTTTCAGGTAAGTTATTCTTTTTAAAAGCTCATTACACAATAGAATAAAATTTTTACAGGACTGATCACACGTACTACAATTTTACACTAAAAAAACAACTAAAATTATGGTATGAGAACAAAAGACCGTTGACTAATGGCTTGGGAAAGCAAGTAATTCACTACAGAAACCTAAGAAATGATACAAGTACTAGACCTGATATTGAAATGCTTGGTGTTGGTCCAACTTTTATAAGCAATCGAATTGCAACTTTCAATAGGTAAATTTTAAAAACAGCAACCATGTGGCCTCACCCTACTGAACTAGGTTTGCCAATAAATTACCTTCAGGTTTACAAATAATGAGATAAAATCATGTTACCATTCAATTTTCAGATATAATAAAAAATATACATCTGCATACCAAATCCTAAACGAGCACACTGATTTTGCATTTCAAATTTTTTTGCTACATCCCGAATCGAAAGGAGAAATAACACTTCAATCTAAAGATCCACGAGATTATCCTTTAATAAACTTCAATTATTTTGCCATTGAAAACGATTTAGAAACAATATACCAATCAATAAAGTGGTTGTTAGAAATGCAAAATACCAAAGCTTTGAAAAACTTTGTAGCAGAACGCTTGTTTGTGGCAATGCCAGGCTGTGACGAAAATTACGAAATGGATTCTAGAGAATGGTGGTATTGTATGTTAAGACACGTTGCATTTCCTGTAAGTAGGTAGCAAAAAAATAAACTCTTACTTATTATTGTCTATTTTAGGGCTATCATGCTATGGGTTCGGCAATAATGCGTACAGGTCCCAGTAACTCTGTATGCAATCCAGAGCTTAAAGTTCACGGAATACAAAAGCTCAGAGTTGCAGACGCTAGCATTTTTCCAGTTACCATTTCTGGTCATACGACTGCACCTACTGTGATGGTTGCAGAAAAAGTTTCTGATCTTATCAAAGCTGAGCATGGACAATAAATACCCACTCGATATTATTCACATTCACTTGAAAGTTGAAGATAGCTTCAATACCTACATCTTTATTATAATATATTGTATTTAAAAATTCGTGTTTTGTGAAGTATTCACCTGTTTTCTTCGTAACCACATGCAAGTATTTTAACTACGGCTGAACTTTATGAGAAAATTCAAACATTGATAAAAGCTAGGTATCTAAAACTCACCAATATCGGAAAATACGAAGTGGCATTTTCTGTTTAATTTTAGTCCCTCTACTAAAAAAAAAACATAGTTTTGTTTGCAAATTTGCGATCTACTACGACATCCATCCCTTGTCAGGTGATTAATACTTTATGTATTAAAATTGTGTCTTTTTTTTCAAGATCGGTAGAGTTTCAAGGTACTTATGGCCCCTATAAGTTGAAAATGTAAAAGAATTTGCTTCGAAATTTGAAAGGTGAATTTCAACTTTGAAGATTTATAACTTTGGAATGGTAATAGTACGGTTGCTTAGCGAAAAAAAACGCCATTTGATGATACAAGCATGAAATTTGGCACAGTTGCTAATTAGACCATTTTAATCGATTTGAGTCGAGGACCCATCGACTTTTCTCATTGGTACTAAAAAAACCGTATTTTTATTCTGGGTAGACAAGCATGATTATACTCTACTCTATTTATTTCGGGGACGCAGAATAATAAAACGATAGTTTTAGTCCGCTGTGACCTTTCGATGGCCTGAAAAAAGTCAATTAAGGTCAAAAAATAAAATTTTTGAAAATAGCTGCCAAAGTTTTAAAGTTAAAGTTTGTCTTGGCAATGCAGGCATGATTATAGTCTATTGTATATAATTTGAGGAAGAGCATTTCAAAAAATATAGTTTTAGACCGATATGACGGTAATTGACCTTGAAAAATATCAATAAATATAGTTTGTTGTAAATAATTTAAGGATTTCGAAAAATGTACTTATGCAAAATTTGTATCCATACAAAGTCAACAAACTTCTTGCAGTGAATTAAAATAGGTACATTTAAAGTGGTTATCAACAATAGATCAAGCCTTTCTGTTTTTACAACCTCCTTTGCAAGTACCACAAGCAGGAGTGGCAGGAGTGCCAGGGAGACTAAGGCGGTGACAGGAACACCTCATAGTATCACATCCTGTCTTACAATTGCATTTTTCCATTCCTCGCAACTCCGACGAACACAGAAAATAGCTCACTCCATTTTATTGCTCAAGGTCGTGCCCCAGTTCTCGGGAGATGAAATCTTTTCTTATATAGAAAGCAACCTGCCCCATATTTGTCCAGCTTGATAAGCTGCCCTTCTGGCTCGTTCAAAAACGCTTCCTTGGGACGGAGGAGTTGAACTAAGTGGTCGCTCTCCAGAGCAGAAAAGAGATTCCCGAGTCTCGTTGACACTGAAAGATTCACTGTTTATGTCGTACTCACATACAGGATGGACCAAATTCGAGCCTTATCACTGGGATCTTGGATTAGGGACGGTTAAATTATGGCAAAGTTGCGCATTTCGATGCCTAACAAAAGGCTGCTTTGATATTTAGGATATTCCGAATACTTTTGGAAGTATCCAAAAAAAAAACCGAAATACTGCAAAATTGTTTTTATTTTTTCCTGACTTTATTTGAAGTGAAATTCCAAAAAAAAAAATCACTTTATCATAGCCACTTTTTCTCCCCTACAAGATGCTACCATCAAAGTTAAAATCTGATGTTTCGTCTTTGGGCCATCATCATTAACTTTATTTTTTTAAATACGAAAAACTATTTTTCTACTTTTTAGTAATTTCCTACCAAAATTCTGTTAAATTCTCTTCTCTATCTCTCTCTAACATATTTAGTTTTTATGGAAAGTGACAATAATAAGTTTCTTTGGTATAAATGCAATACTTCATTGGTTTTGGGACATCAGAAGCTCATGAAATCTAAAATAAAAGATAAGGATCCGTATTTAAAAAAAATGAACTTGATGATGGTGGCCCAAAGACGAAACGTCAGATTTCAAATTTGATGGTAGCATCTTGTAGGGGAGAAAAAGTGGCTACTATGAAGTGATATTTTTTATGAAATATCACTTCAAATAAAGTCAAGAAAAAATAAAAACAATTTTGAAAAATTTCGGTTTTTTCCAGATATCTCCGGAAGTATTCGGGATATCCTAAATATCGAAGCGGCATTTTGTTAAGCATCAAATTACGCAACTTTGCCCTATTTAAACCAACCCTGTATTTCTCACCGTTTCCAAGATCCCAATGATTTGAAACACCCTGTACAGTGAATCTTTCTATGCCTTCTGAAACTTTATAACTTACTAAGTAGTATGCATCAAGGTTTTAGAGGTCATTTCAACCTGACAGTTTTTTTTTATGTGATTATGATAGGTAATAGGTTATTAAGTTTAGTCACACCAATAAGTATATTATTATCTGAATAAGTAAAATTTTAGACGCCATTTTAAAAAAGTGGGGGTCTTTAAGGTCATCTAAGGTCAAATTAACTTGAAGAGTATTATTTTTATCATTTGTATTCAGTTTATTTGAAAATAAGAAATTAACTATTAGAATAAGTACTAATAATGGACGCCATTTTACAAAAATCACTATTTTTAAGTTCATACAAAGGTCACAGCTGTCTAAAACTATTTTTTTATTATTCTGCGTCCCCGAAATATATAGACTAGAGTATAATTATGCTTGTCTACCCAGAATAAAAATTGACCGCCATTTTGGAAAAATGGCGGTTTTTTCAGTACCAATGAGAAAAGTCGATGGGTCCTCGACTCAAATCGATTAAAATGGTCTAATTAGCAACTGTGCCAAATTTCATGCTTGTATCATCAAATGGCGTTTTCTCTTGAAAAAATCCCTCAAGCAACCAGACTATAATAGTTATTGATATTGAATTGTATCATTTTGTAGCCAATTTAATCCTCTTTCGAATGAAACATGATTCATTACAATCGGTTGTGATGACTTATATAATGGGGCCATCTCAAGTTGGCAAATTCGAAATACAATTGTGGAATTTTCTTCTGGAATTTTTTCCGGGGTTAGGAAGCCTCAAACGAAAAAATACCAAGAGGAATTTTCTGTTTAATTTGACCCCCTCTACTCAAAAAAAAAGTTTTGAGACTTTTTTGGATCCCCTCTGTAAAGACTGGTTCAGAGGTCTTCGTCAAAATCTGAAATGAACTTGGTTTCTTCGACACAGACATGAAAGTCTTGCAGGAAAACGTAGTGGACTGTATTAGAAGACAAAAAATGTCGGAAAAAAGGTATTCCAGCCTTTTTTAACTGCCTGATTACTGGCTGGGGGCTGAATTATTGGATAGACCGATCACTTTTTGTCACTTTTCCAAATCTTCAAAAATGGCATCCTGTCTGTCATCCTTCTCACTCTCATTCCTTGCTCGGCTCTCTCGAATCTTCTCCAAGTGCATGTCAGCACTGTTACTAATGCCTTGGTTTATTTGTGGTGGCAAACACTGATTTTTCCCGCACTTTTTAAGGATAAATGAGATTGAATTATTTATTCTAATTGAATTAAATTCTTAACACCCTCTACAAAATGGCTGTCTTGAAATTTCGAAATTTTCTGAGTGCCTGCCAAAAGTTTTCCTATATTACAAAAATAAGAATTGAACTCATTCTCATTCGCAATCTGTTTTTTGTTTTTTATTTCTAAATTTACTTGGTTAGTAATTCCTTTTATTTCTGACCTACAGACCTCATCAATGGTGGCCTCCCTAATCACATTCCATAGTTTTTTTGGGTCATTTAGATTTTTTTGTGCCAATAATTTGTAATAAGTATACTTTGAATTTTTCATTAACTTACACAAAATTTTTCGATGTTCCTGATACCTATTCAGAATAATAAAATTGTTGGGATTCAAGCCAGATTCCTTTTAAGGGCGGTTTCTATTTCTTTTTCTTGTTTGGTATTGTTTTTATAATAGTCCCCAGTACATCGACCTTAAAACTTTGTAACTCATGTACACGCCAAACTTCCTGAGCGGCTTCATAACAACAAGTCGGACAATTTTGTTCATATCTGCAACCTGGGCGATGGGACATGGTCGCGCTAGCTCTTCGTGTAATTGTAATTCTGACGTCTTCGAGAACGGTGATACATGTACGTGTGGTTTTAATTCTATCGACTATTTTTTATGTTATAATAACGATATCACATTTGTCGGACAAAAATCTCGTGGCATTGAGGGGTCCGACGCCCTTAACATGTTGCTGTTAGAAGCGTCGGACCCCCGCAATGCCACGAGATTTTTGTCCGACAAATGTGATATCGTTAATATAACATACAAAACAGTCGATTGGAACTAAAACTACACGTACATGTATCACCGTTCTCAGGGACGTCAAAATGACAACTTCACGAAGAGCTAGCGCGACAATGTCCCATCGTCCAGGTTGCAGATATGAACAAAGTTGTCCGACTTGGTGTTACGAAGCCGCTCAGGAAGTTTGGCGTGTACATGAGTTACAAAATTTTAAGGTCGATGTGCTGGGGACTAGAATTATTGATTCCATGATCATATTTTTTAGAATCTTCACAAATATATTTGTACAAATTATATTTCTCGTTCAGTAAGTCTTGTTTTTAAAAACTACTTATTTTATTAAAAACTAAGAAGTTACAACAAAATATACTAGACTTTAATTGCTGCGGAGAAAAGCCGATAACAAAAGAATCTTGATTCTAAATTGCTATAGTCTAAGCTACAATACAAATGAATGAGCTGAGAAGCTCTGCGCGCCGTATTTATGATAAAAAACTGCTGACGGTTGCGAAATCTTGATATGACGGTACTTTTCCAGGCAGTACCGCTTACTCAGCATCTTCATAATATCGTGAGCTTTTACAGTGGCGTATGCTTATATTTAACATTGAAAAGAATAATCATTAGTATAATAATAACATAGGGTTCTATAATATAACTTACACAGTTCTACATTATGCTCCTGCAAAACCTCACCCCACCGCTCACCTTCAATTTTTTTTTCCAACATTTTATGGTTTATTGATTTGTAAGTATTAATATTATCTATGTTGTCAAAGGATGTTTCTAACT